AATAAATTATTGGTGAAAAAATAATTTCTAATATACAACAACAAATATGTATTTAATGATAAAATAAAAAAATAGGGGAAGATGGTGGGAGTTAAGAAACGGAAACGGAAGTGTCTTGTAAAAAATAAGTTTAAAGATATTTATTTTTTTTTTATAATTTTTCACGTATAAACAATTTCAAAATAAATTAAATAAATTATAGGTGAAGAAAAATTGTTTAATATTCAACAATTGATAGACTTTTAACAATAAAAAAAAAAAAAAGGGGGGAAGTTTAGGGCATGCGTAGTGCAGTTTTAACATAGGTAAGTTATGGAGGGGGTTGTTCTCAGAGGATTTAAACTTAATTGAAAAGTAGGGATAGCCCTATAAAAGCGAGTAGACAGGCCCATTTACTTCAGTTCAGAAGTTCTGTTCAGATCTTCCTGATACAGTCGTTCTGTTCGTATTACACAAAATTGTAAATATAAGTAATATAAAAATTTAGTTAAGATAGAAAAAATACATTTTATTAGAAAAAGTTTGAAATTGTGAAAGTGAGGGTGAAAATTATAAAACTTATATTTGTAACGTGCATTATATATCATTTGAAACTTTGTAATTAATCTTAAAAGGGCGCGAAAGTATTGCACATGCGCAGTAAAGAAAAGAATAATTTGAACAGTGAATTAATTCTCATAATTAATCAAAATCAAAATATAACTTATCAAAATCGTGTTTTAAAGATTCGAAAGGTTATTTTATAAATTATGTGTAATAATCTACAATTCAGTGAACATTAAATCATACAATTCCAATCATATAATACAACAATAATTCTACGTTTTAAGGGGTAAGAAATACCATAGTTTTTAAATAAAAGTTTCTCTTCTTAAATGCGGTCTGTGTTAAACGGGTTGTCGTTACGTGAACACGTTTTATTTATAACGAGAATTCCAGGCTAAATATGTAGGCGCTAAGCTTTAAATGCGGGTGAATCGTGTCTGCTGGCAAACATCGGTTACTTCTCGTATTCTCGCTTCTTAATTTTCTATATTTTTTCTGAATTATTGTTACAACAAATCGTTCATTAATAAAATTATTATTCGTTACTTATTTCTACGCTAAAAACAAACACTTCATAATTAACTTTATTCGGTCTTACATTTAAAATATATTAAAACAGAGATGAGACGCGCGTTTTTTGATTAACAGGAAAAATATTTTTTCACTTGATTTACGCTCAAATAAATTCTTTTTTTTTTCTTATCTGTAAAGCACATGACATATATATATATATATATAGACTCAATCGTGTATTTAGTATACAATCGTAGAGTATTCCCTCCATTAATAAATCCACGTGCATATGATGTTTGGGTATAATATGTGTGTGTGATGAGTGAAAAAGAAAGAAAAAGAGAGAGAGAGAGAAAGAAAAAGATAGTAAATTAAAATCTTACGCGGTCATTCATTCACAAGTGTTTGTTTATATGCATGAGATGCATCTGTCATTATTAATTCAGAAACATTGTCGAGTTGTTTAAATAATAAAATGTTTATTTTCCCTCGTTAATGTAAGCATGTGTCAATAGTCTAACGAAACGTGCACGAAGTCGCACGATTCCACGCGGAATTAGCCGAAAGGGTACGGTACCGCGTGTCCAGTCAACGTGCGGCATTCGTCATGATTTTAATAGTTTCTACCGCGAAAATGGATATCGTAATAAGATCGTATAATTATCGGTAAATTAATGTTTCAAATGCATCATTGTTTTTTTCTTAACACATATCTCGAACATTTAAAGAAATTTTTGAAATGTGGCCGTGCGCATATTACTCGTGTATGGCGCGTTGCATAGGAATTGCAACATAACCTCAAAATGAGCGCGTGGTCAGCCAGTAATAGCGCGCACGGCCTTTTTACATTACTATGTCAAATACTCGTGTCAATAATTAGTGTTTATTATTTTAGATTGTGATTACGGTATTGTGATTAAACGTATTTCCACTTGCATCATGGAAAATAGTTATAATGATCTAGATGATTTTAATCTATTCCCAAGCTTGGAAAGATCTGATGAACAGGTAATAATTATAACTATTTCTTCCCAATGTTTTTTTCTCATTATTTTCATTAATTAAGAATATGACATGTGAATTAAATAATACTCTCTGATATATTGGTCAGTAAAGAATTGTTTTCCTGATAAATCAAATCATTGATAATATTTAATGTTTATATTTATATACACGATGTTTACATATGTTAATATTATTCACATGTTCTATTCCTTTATTTATAATGATAATGATAATGTTCAAGCTTTAACATTTTATTATTGTATTGCAGGATAATGTAAATGAAGATTTATTTTCTAATATCATCAGTAATAATTGTGAAACCCCGTCCCAACTTATTTCTAATGATATGTGGAAGCTCTTTCAAGAGTAAGTTTTAATAATATTTCTGTAATTATTATTAACCCGATCGTTTCAAAGGTATATTTTAATGTGATACTTTTTTTTATAGCACTCCTTTAAATGATTTAAATGTAATAGATGAAATGATGTCAAATTATGGGTTAAACTCTAATGAAATTAGTAACAAAGAAGACTTTAACAAAACGATTAATGATTGGGATAAACACCTTGAATCATTACCGGTCAGTATTTTACTAAGGATTCTTTTAAACTAATTCATTGATATGCTAACTAATTATATTTCAATCTTACCGATTTGAAATATTCTAAAATTTACTACATTTCACAATTTGTTTCTGTTAAATATATTATTGAATTCTTTGTACATATTAGTTTATTAATATAAAATTATTTTAAAAGGATATGGATTATGATATGAACAACCTAGCCGAACATACGAATCTAGTAAACACAAATAGTTCTTATTCTAATTTGAATTGTCTAGAAGAAACTAATGTTGAACTCATATCGAATATGAAAATCAAAATCAAAGGTGCAGGTATGTCTTCGTTGTTAATTTTTCTATTTCCTAATATAAATATATTTAGAAAATATCTTTTTTTCTATAATTAATATAATTAATATTTAAACAGGCATTGCTGATTATAAAAGTAACTGCTTAAAGAATGGTAGAAGTAAAAATTCTCAAGAGGATTTTAATACGAAAAAGAAAATCCAAAATAAGAATAAGACTACCAAATCTATTACCACAAAGCAGAGAAAAATAAAAAGGATATCAGAAATAATGCACGAATTAAAACAAAAAGAAGAGACTGAGCCTTGCATTGATATTGTAACAGTGCCTGAAGAAACACCAAGTATGATTATCTACAATTATTATTAAATGTACCATAATCGATGACAATGACTAAATTTAAATATAAAATTCAAATTCTTCATTTAAGGTTATTGATTGTTTATTATTGGTTCTATTTATTATATTCAATTATACAAAATATTAATTTTGTTAAACGTTAGTCATTTGTCTATGTGTTATGGTATAAATATTAACGATAATAAATAAATTTCAAATTTAATACACACACACAATAATAAATATGTATAATTTTCAATTTGTAGTGTTAGAAGCTGGCGATGTCAACAGTTTATTTGAGCAATTTGAAGCATCCGAAATTTTATCTGTGAACGCGTTGTGTCATAATAAAATTTCTACACAATCTAATCAAAGTATACAAGCTCAACCGATCACAGTAAAACCATCTACGAAACCAACTTCATCGGCCCTTTCAAGGAATACAAATTCGTCTGTAATTCCAAGAAAGAAGAATTCGCCTGCTCAACCTAAGACCACAAATTCGCCAGTCCCTTCAGAAAACGTAAATTCACCTGTTCATCCAAAGAAACAAAATTCATTATCACCGAATTTAATAAAAGATATCAACGATCCAGCATCTAAAGAAGTGATTGACAGGATAAAGGTAATTTTAGGACTATATATAGGTACAGTAGTTGTTAGCTACAGTATACTTCTATAGTCTTATATTCTTTTATATTTTATATAGGCCCTCAACAAAGAAACAAAAAAAGGAATTTCTGTAATACCTGCAATGCCAAACATTCGTAAAGGTGGACGAAGTAACGGCAGCCGAACGCAGGATGCTAATAATGCAGCGTTATCAAAGAACAAAGCGGCTAAGGTAATTAAGAAATTTATTTTAACACGTTCTGTACCATATATACCACTAGTAGTACAGAAAGCATATTTATTTACTTCATCTAAATAAATAATATGGCACAAGACGTGTTAATAATAAAGCTTTTAACTAAAATCACATAAACAAATGACATTCAAAAAAAAATAAACAATCTTTATAATCACGGTTAGTTTGATTTAAGAAATATTTACATTATATGTAATTTAAACCAAAATTTTTTTTATTTTTATAGTATATCTTATTAATATATTATCTATTTGTTTAGGTGGCAAATAAGATTAAAAATAAAACAATCGACAGTGGATCAATCAAATTGGACCATGATTATTGCAGTAATTCCAACTCCGCCGTTAATGATTCGGACAATAGTGTTAATGAAAAGAAGGCTAGTGATAACAGTGACAAAACTCTTAGTGTAAACAATAAATCTAAAAAATCGAATCGTTCTTCTGCAGTGAAAACTAGTGCAACAACAGTGACACAAGCTAAAAGCTTTACTGAAAGTGACAAAGTTAATGTTCATAAAAACTTTATAAAAGACAATAGTTCAGAATCAGCTAAAAAAGTTATTAATAGTGAGGAATCTTTATCATACAATAGTAATAGTATTAATACAATTAAAGAACAAATGAATAAGCAGTCACAAGAGCTCCCCATAAATACTCAATCGCTCAAACAAGATTTAAAATCTTCTCTAGACTGCTTATTCCAAACAAATACAACAAAACCCCCAATTGTTGAGATGAAAATACAATCTGCAATAGTAGCAAAAATACTGAGATCAAAAAATAAAGGATTAAACAAACCAAAATTAATACAAGATAATAGTAAACAAATGATCTCAGTATTAAAAAAACCACCCACAGTACAACCAACAATACAACCTATTACCACTAATAATAATGAAAGCATAGTTACAACCACCAATAGCTCAAATAATATCATACAAAATATTATAATTGAAAATACTCCAGAGATTCCGAAAAAGGCAGAGACCAAACAGCCTCCTCGCAAGAAACTTAATTTAGCTGAATATAGAAATAGAAGAGGACATACAACTGTTGCCACAAAATTGCCCGTTGAACCAATAACAATAGTAAATATATATACAGCCTCTACAACAACAGAACCATTTAAAGATCAGTTAGGAAATGAACTTTGGTGCGAAAGAGAATGTTTGCCAAAGAAGACACCCGAAACAGATTTAAATAGACCAAAACCACCCACCAGAGATATGGAGACCCAAACATATGAAACCGTATTTAATTATGCTAAAACGTGTTTCATGGATATTGTTCAAGAAAATGAAATTCTCCAATCTGTGGTGGATGTTGATGACACAAACATAATTTCCACCAAATCTCCAATAGTTATCGACGAGGAAAATGAAGTCCCTACCAAATCATTGGTAGATGTTAATAAGAAAAATGAAGAAAAACCAAGGTAAATATCAAATAAAATATATATTTAAAACAATCAAAATTATACTAATTGCATTATTGAGTAACTGATATTTAGTAAAATTAAGAAGAACAAAAATTGCAATTCAAATATTTAACACTATTGTAAATTGACCAAATTTTTATGATTTACAGCAGAAAACGTACATTAAAAATAGAAGAAACACTAGCCAGCAAAACACGCAAGGTTGATTCCAGTTCAAGTCGATCTAGAAGCCGATCCCATAGTAGAAGCAGCAGTAAAAGTCCGAGTCAAAGTCCAAACCGTAACAAACATCAAAGAGATAGAAGTAAAAACAGATCAAGCAGAAATATTCGCCATAAAAGAAATAATCATCGCCCTAGTTCAATCAGTTCAAACGTCAGCTGTACATCTCAATCCCTTTCGGACATAAGATCCAATTCTAGATCGCGACATTCATTTTCACGTTCCGAATCATCAAGATCAAGATCCACCTCAATGTCCGATCAGTATTCACCTTGCTCAAGGTAAATGAATTTTAATAACGTAAAAAAAACATATATTTGACCAATAAAATCAATTAACTATTTGGTTTTCGAGTACTCTACATTTTTAAGTATTTTGTCTTTTTAAAATAAAACAATAATATCGTGCATTAAACAAATTTCCGAATTTATATGTAAAGTAATAATAAAAGCGAGATTGGTATAAATTCATATAAAATTCATTGAAGAATTGAAAATATTGTAGATCATCCCCTAATTCAAATGACGGAAACAGAGACTGGCACCATGAACGTCGATCCCTAAAAAGAAACTGTGATGACAGATATAAGGGAATTCCGTCGAAAAATTCTCACAAAAAAAAATATTGGAGAAGGTAAATGTTTGACATATTTTGTACATAGTAGCATAATGCATCTAATTTATCAACCTATATATATAAATAAATAAAAATCCTTGATAAAAAATATATGTTATATTTATTTTTTATTAAATTATTTCTAGATCGTCACCAGATACCTATCAAAGATCGTTTAGCCGATATTCCGAAGAAAAATCCAATGAATATCGGGAAAATGTCATTTATGCTGGGTGGTTGGAAAGTGGGGTAACTAGAACTAGTTTATATCAAAGATTTAAACGCTTTGGCCCCATTGTAAGGATAACGATACATGTCCGTGAACATCCACCATGGTAAATATTTTTGCATTCATTTTTACTTCAAATATGAAATGGAAAGAATGAATTACATTAAAATGAAATGATTTACAGGGATCATTACGGTTTTATAACATTTCAATATAAACATCATGCATTCGAAGCTCTGGAGCATGCAAACGATGATCCCAAATTGCCCAGATATGATTTAAATTTTGGCCATAGAAGAGATTTTTGCGGAATTCCATATGAAGATCTTGGTAAGAACACATATACAAATATAATAATTAATATACAACTGTTTCATATGAGTATCATTAACATAAACATCATTTACAGATCACTACCACGACAATGAAGAAAATAAACAGGAAAAAAAAATACATATGTCAAAATATAAAGAAGAAGAAACATTTGATAGTCTTTTGGAAGAAGCAAAAGCTATTATAGGAAAACGAAAAGTTTGACATATGTACTTCCGGTTAGTTATAATTTTTTATTTATAAGAATAGAATAAGGAAAGAAATACAGTAAATTTCCGTATAATGCGAGTTCCTACAGCACGAATTCACATAACACGTAACATTTTAACCGAGTTATACGGAAATTTACTGTAGTATAGGTAATATTATTCACATATAACGAGACTACAATCTTCTAAAACTTATTTAAATCTATTGGTTTGAGTAAAAAATTCATTCGCATTTTCTCACAAGAATATAAAGTTGTATTATTTTAATATCGGACTTACCTAAACGATGGTATATTAGGATTACCGAAAAGTTTTGTCTGCTTTTCCAAGCCATATATCCGAAATGTTTTTTATATTTTCCGCAATCTCCGACGTTGACAGAAAAAAAACCTTGGTCCTAATAACATCGTCCAACGATCGGAGATACGTGATAAATTCGAGACGGCATTATCGGACAGAACTTTCCAGTAAACCTAATATATATATCATTTTATTGTATAAATTATAATGAGAGAACGCGAGTGAAATTTTTATTCAACCTAATCAAACGAATTGTATATATATTTAATTGAAAAAAATATTTCCGATTGTGGTCAAAACTGATGATATAAATAATGAAATAATTATCTATCTTAAATTCATTTGTATATTAAATTGCATTTTATAGTTTTTTTTTGACGATAAATAACAAAATAATTTATTAATTATATTATTAAGATAATTGACTAAAAAAATTATTAAATATTTCAAATACACGCGAACTATTTGTAAAGTTATACACATTGACTACATTAACTGGCAGATATTGAAGCCCCCAATTGTAGATTAATATGTTAATAGAATTGTAAAAATAAGCCCGTTGCATATACCGCGTGATAATCTTCTAATATTTGTATATTATAGGAAGTTGTAGTTCCTATTTTTCTTGACTTCCTACTATAAATTGTGGTTATAATTTATGAAATTTTTTGAAAGCCAGTTAAATAATTAAACGACAAAATCATTCATTATATGCGTTAAAAATAAATGCCAAATAATAATTGTAAGATAAAAAACAACTAGACTCTTTTTCGTTTTAGTAATAACACTTTGTAATATATATTTATGGTATTTTGGCATTTATCTCTAACGCATTGATTATTTGTTAGACTTTTCCAACGACCAATGATGCGCAATAGACGTGTAAAAAAAAAAAGTCGTAAAGAAACTTATCATGTTTCGCGAGAGATTTTTAAAAGTATTTATCATTATATGTACATTAACGAGACGTATACAAAGTTTTATAACGAACTTTGTTTGAAATAATAATATTATATAATATAGACATGTAAGAAATCGATAATTTGAATTTTTTTCGATAACAATTACGTAAAATGTGATATTACGAAGATTAAACGATTTGTCTGAATATTGTTATCGATATCTTTTACCACCGTGTTAATCTTATGAAACAATTGTATATATTTTGATGTTCGTGTTCATAAGCATTTTATTATCTTTTCTTACTCGAAACAGATTTGGAGAATATTGCACGGCATGTTCACGTGCGAAAAGAAAAAAGAAATAAAAACGAAATTTTATACTAATAGTGGTGGTCCCTTTCTAATTAATTAAGATTCTACCGACTGTAATTATTTAAAAATATATTATCGGAAGAAAATTGGTTGATTTTCTGATAATATTGTTGCGAATATTATGCGCATACGATGCGCACATGTTACGCAAAAAATTTAGACTAATACTGTATAGGAAGAAATAAAATTTAGGACAATTAAATTAATTGTAATAATCGTGTGACATCGAGATCGATACTCCACCGATGAGATTATAAAAAAGAAAAATATTTAATGTTCGCGCGTTAGAGAGAGAGAACATTAATATTAATGAGCATCCTAATTGTTGCATACAGAAGGCTAATGTTTGTTCGCAAATTAATATTATTATATAATTTTGAAGAGCTCTCTGGAATTGCGTGAAAGATTTTTTTTCTTTACACTTGAATATTCTTTTATGAAATAGTATGATGATATTTTTCTTCTTCTATTCTTTCAATCTATTTTTTTTTTTTTTCGTATTTTAGCCAATTCATATAAATTATAAGCATGTAAATATACATTTTAATAACGAAAATTTATATGTTGTATTATATGTAACAATAATTTTTTATGCGGACAAACATACATACATTAAAAAAATCATTATCATCATCAAAATGATATGTCGTTAATTCATTCCTGTCTCCTTGCATTCGTAATAATGTTTAAGTAAAGATACCTTGCTAATTTCTTTTACGAAGAGATTTTTAGCGATAAAATCAATTGAATGTATAATCAATAACTAACGAAGTTAATTGTATTTATATAATGTACTCACTCATGAATCAACATGCAAAAAACTAACTGCATAAAGTCGCAATTCTTTACCATCTTCAGAAGTCAAAGATAAAGTAGTCTCATATACTTGTGAATCAGTTGGTAAAAGATGAACGGTCATTGGAACGTATTGATTTGCTAATCTAACATCTGCGTACATAGTAGTTTAAAAAATCAATACTTTAGCATTTACAATATTTAAAATAAATAAATAAAAAGAAAAGGGGAAACAATTTAAGATTAAGCGAGTATACTTGCCATTTATAGTAAATGTTTCTGGTAGTGTCAGAAGAAGATCACTTTGTTCAGATGCAGAAACAAAGTACGTAACTTTTGCATTAAATATATGCACGAATTCTAAATCCGTGTTATCAACGTTATGACCCATGAGCCAGTGTATTAATCTCAGTCCAATATAAGTATCTAATAATTAATACTTCATTTATCTTTGTCATAATATAATATTTTCATTGAATGGATAAAAAACTAGAACTTTAGTTGTTTGTTTACTTAAATATCGAGACCAGAACGCACGTTCTTTATTGTCTAAGGTTTTTTGAAACATATGACTTATACAGTTCCAAAGTTCATTATTCCGAGATGGTATAAGAACTTCAACATTACAAGGACAATCCTCATTCGATCCCAAACCATCGGTGCAGGTACACTCTTTGTTTTCATTATTCCATTGTACCACAATACGATCAATAACCGTTGATTGATATCGTGAAATTATCTATATTATTATATTATAATAATAATACATGAATAAATAATTGTTAAAATTATATACTACATATAATTAAGATATTTTTAAATAATAATTAATAATATATTAACTTGAATAATAAAATCACCCGTTTTCGATTGGCAAATAAGCCAAAATTGTTTGGAAGTAGGTGATATGCACGCAACGGTGATTCCTAAATTTGCCTCAGTTACGTCTTCGTCAACTATGATACTTTTTTGATTCAAAAATAATCTTCTTGGTACTTTTCTTGTTCGTAATTCTGACCATTTAATCATTTTTAAATTCGCTAAATGAAAAATTCATTCATTTAATTTCAGGTTGATATTTTTTGGTGTATATATAATTTGTGTACATATTACATACATGGCTTGTTCGGTTTTTCTTCCGTCATCCATATTTCGTATTCTGCTGCATTTGTATAGGGTATTTTAATAATTAAAATAGTATTGAAAATTTGATACAATTTACTACGTATAATATGTTCTTGCGATACTTCTAAGCTGCTAATTTTACCTTCCAATACATAAGTTTGATTAATACCAAATTGTGGACCATATGCAGCACCGCAAAGCAATAAATACGCTAAAAATTTACAACAATGAAATTAAATAAATTTAATATTATATATATATATA